AGTTAATTAGAATAAAACCTTCCTCTCCACAGTAGAACAAACCGTAGCACACCACGACCCGACACCCAGAAACAATCGCCCACTCAAATAGGGCTATGGCTCGAGCATTGCTCCGGAAACTCCAGTGTAACCACGGCTAGCTGGAACTGCGTTAGACAACCAATATCTTCTCCCAGACGACTGCCCTAGAGCCGTAAACGGAGGCCGACCACCTACCCCCCTCGCACCGACTACACCCCTCCCACCGACTGAAACATCCAGCCCTACTGACAAAGCATCCAACCACCACTAACCCGAAAACCAACCACCGAACTTCAGCCACCAACGGCCCACGGCTAATCTGCCGTCCAACTCGAACCACCAAACCCAAGAAGTTGGCTAAAGGAGGGGAGAGAGAGCCAAACCTCGATCCTGACTAGCTCCAAGGAGGTTGGCCGGAGCCCGCTGAACGCCACCGGTCGGAGTCTCGGGTACCCGAACCGCGATAGAAGCGCCGTGGGGGGTCAGCGAGACCTGCATCCGGTGGAGATTCGAGGCTCCAAGAGGGGCGACCAGCCCGGATAATGGCAGACAGCACTGGGCTGCGCGGCAAGTCTACGAAGAGAAAGCGGTGGCGACAGAACAAATAAGGACCTGCCGAGAAATTTGGGGGAAAAAGTGTTTTTTGGGGGAAAGTTGTGACAAAAAAGAGTAAAACTAACAAATAAAAATTGGGGTGAAGACTTTTCGTGGAACCAGTGTGATATTTTCAGTATATCAAGGTTGCAAGACTTGCTTGGTGGGCATCCATCTTACTAGTGCAAAAAAATAACTAGTACGTTTTGCGCTGCTGAGGCGGACACCTAAATCAAATTTTAACATTCTTGGTGGTTGTCTAGTCTTCCTATGGTTGTTAGTCGTCTGATATAGTTTGATTTTTTCTGAATACGACTTACTTTTGAGAGGATTTATGTCCTACCTTCAAGGAAGAGTTCTCTTCATACCGCAAATCTCTACTCAACCTCTTCTCTTGCTTTTCAACCTCCCCAATGTTACTGGCCAAAAACATCAATCACTCTGCTTTTTCACCTTCTAAAGTAACTCTCTCTTCCATCAACTCCTTCTCGAACTTCCAAGCATTTCTTGTCTTCCAGAGCCACCACAAAAAATACATTGAAAGTCTAATTCTGTCTTCCATATAGCATGCCTACTTTGCATTGCACACTCCTTCCATCAGGTTCTAAGTTTGCTCTTCTTATTTTCTAAACTAGCCCATTGTACTCTCAGTAGATGCCAACACGTAACAGCCCTTGGGCAGCTGAAGAAAGTATGCTCCTTGTCTGTAGTTCCTTCTCCACAGTTTTCACAAGTTCGCTCCATCTCCATTCCTCTCCTTATATGTTGATGGTTTGTACTCAGATATCCCTGCCACCATTTCCATGGGAAGATCTTCAACTTGCTCTTGAGTGAAAGATTCCAGATCTTCTGCCACGTCTTTTGTAATTTTTCTTCTGAAGAGCTTGCAACTTCTTTGTTCCTTCTTTTCTTATTCCTAGCTATCATCACTTGATAAGCTTATTTCACTGTAAAGTTTCCATTCTTGTTCCAATTCCAAATAAGTTTTTCTTTTAAACCCACTTGACTAATAGACATATTGAGAACAAGCATCAATGGAAATAAAGGTTTAAAGAACTANNNCAAGAAGCAACTCCCTAACCCAATGAAGTTCAATCCTATCCTTCTCAAAACTATAAACAAGTATAAAAGATGGGTTGTTGGAAACCCAAGGAGTCTCTCAGATGCGAATTGAATGCTAATTACCTACTTGATATCTAACTCTCAATTTCAAGTTTTCTTTAACCTTCAATCACTTCTCCACAACCAAGAATTCCGACTCTTATTTTTAACTTTACTCAACTTTTCCTTACTGAAGTCTCTACCCTTGATGACTTTGCTCAATAACAGATTGTGTTTGGTTAAGACCCTCCAAAGTTGTTTCATGATCAAAGCATCATTAAAGGTCCTAAGATCATGAACCCTAACCCTCCCCTTTCCTTAGATTAAGCTAAAATTCTCCCAAGCAGACCAATGTATCCTATTCTCCCCACTTTCTAATTTACCCCACCAAAAGTTTGCAGACTCCTTGCAATTATCCTCACGAATAGAAATAGGAAGCCTAAAACAGGACATCACATAAGTAAGTAAGACACTTATCACCGATTTCAAGAGGATTTTCTTTCCAACATCACTCAAAAATTGTTTTTCAAATTTACAATTCTGCTCTTAAAAACCTCACTCATAAAAAGAAAAATCTCTCTTTTTGATCTCCCTATATACACCTAATGGCAGTCCTAGATATTTAGAAGGCGTAACTGTAGAGATTTCATTCAGGATTTGGCACACTTCAACACTCACTCTACCAGAAGTGCTTTAGAGAAAAAGACAGAAAATTTTTCAAGGTTTACCTTTTTTTTTTCGGCACAATAGAAATTTTATAAAGCGCACAAAGGTGGAAACAGAAACCAGCCAAAAGCTGAAAGATACAACCAATGCCAAATCCGAAGATCGCCTAGAGTCTAAACTACCAACACTAGACTAACACACTCATGACCCAACATAACAAACAATACAAAGCTCCCAAATAGGAGAATCAATAATACCACCAGGACAATACCCACTCTCACTCGGGACAAACATAGACTAAAGGCTCAAACCAAAAGCACAACTCCTACAAACAAAACAAACAAACAACACACCTAAAGCGAAACAAAAACAACTAAACAAATGAGCCCTTCCTCAGCAAATCTACTGAATGGAGCTAGCAGACAACAATCAACCCCTAGGAGAAGTCTGTAGGCACCTCAGCCCCGACCACTCCAACTCGGACGTCGCGAGCCTCCTACACCATGCCCAGGCCCCCGGTACCGTACCCTACCCAGCGCCACCGCAGCTCCATGGAGGCCGACGACCAGAGACCACAAACCGGAACGTCGAAGGCCGGCCGCAACCATCAGCGCTAACGGAAAAAAGGTGGCACATTCAAAGGGACGAAGGCCGTGCGGCCAAGGGCTGACCGTCGGCAGAGGCCTGACCACCGCTTAGAAAGGCAACTGGAAGAAGAAGAGGAGCTGCGGGACAGATGAAAAAAATTGGAGAGACATGGGAAAATTAAGGCGACGGTTTCCTTGAGAATAAGGGTTTATCATTTGACTTGAGTCAAATTTATAGTTTTTTAGGATATTCCAAATGGACAGAGTATGAGTCTTATCAGCCTTACATAATGAGGTTGAATTATTTATTAGAAAAAAAAAAACAAATAAGAACCAGTAGGTGCATTACTCCCAATTCTAATTCTAGTGAATTCTGTTTAATTTTGCTCTATTAATCTGGTTAGAGAAGGCTTCTGAAAATATGATAAACAAATAGGGAGATACATCAGAGAAGATTGCGTCTAATACAATATATATATATAGATATATATATATATATATATATATAATTACTAGCTAATAGCATTTAATAAAAACTATTTAATAAAACCTCTAAAATTTTCCCTCCATTTTCGGTTATAAAATTTATCATTGATGTTTTTACTTCTCACATTAATACATTCTATTGAGTGTAATCATGTATTTTTCTATTATATTATATAATAATTAATGATAATACCAACTAATAATAATTCAAAATAAATATAAATTGCATGATTATAAACAATTGTTTCAAATTATTTATTTTAACATCAATATTATCTTTTTCTTTTGTATTTCATGAAAAAATTTCTTTAAAAACAATTAGTAAATTGTTTTAATAGCACAGTCAAATAACTTTAGAATCTTATAAACAATAGTTTTTGTAATAATAATAATAATAATAATAATAATAATAATAATAATAATAATCAAACTATTATTATCTAAAGATAATTAATAATTATTCATAATAATAAACAATCATTAATTTATTTTTCCTCATGATTAAATTTTAAAAATTTAATATGTTTATTTTTTAAAATTTTAATATTAAAATATCAAATATTATTTATTATATTTTATGTACATTTGTGCATATGCACGTGGACAAAATATTTACTATAGTAGAACTATAGCCAGCATCTCAGACTCGAGAAAACATTTCACAAACATTTGGAACCAGCGTTCATGGCGTCCGCTAGTGTCGTATGCGCTCCTCCTCTAACTACCTCCTACGCCATGGACGCTCCTGTTCCGAAATCTCGAATTCAAGTCCGACCCGAACCCGCTCCACCCAAGCTCAACCCGAATACCGACTCTCTGAAATCCTGCAAAAGCTTTCTAGCAATAAAGCAACTCCATTGCCAGCTCACGAAACAGGGCCAAATATCCAACCCGCCTATCCTGACAAAGCTCATCGCCAAATACTCTGAAATGGGCACTGCTGAAAGCCTGGAGAACGCAACAAAAGCCTTCGCGATATTTAAAAGCAACAAAGAGAGTTTCAACATCACCACTGCAATTTACCTTTATAATTCTTTAATTAGAGGCAATTCCTTAGCCGGCTTTTTTGATGAGTCTGTTTTGCTGTATGTGAACATGCTAATTGAGGGGCTTAGACCTGATAACTACACGTTTCCGTTTGTACTGAGCGCTTGTGCCAAAAGCTTGAAGCTTTTCGAAGGTAAACAAATCCATGCTTCAATCTTCAAAACGGGCTACTGTGATGATATTTTCATCTCCAATACGCTAATATACTTGTACGGAGAATGCGGAGAAACTGATAGTGCGAGGAAAGTGTTCGATATAATGCCTGAGAGAAACGTCGTAACATGGACGAGTTTGATTTGTGCCTACTCGGTTAAAAATTCGTACCGAGAGGCCATTTCTCTGTTTTTCGAGATGGTGGATGAAGGAGTTGAGCCCAACGAAGTTACAATGGTGAGCGTGATTTCTTCTTGCGCAAAATTGGGGGACCGAATTCTTGCTGAGAAGGTTGCGGGACATGTTAGAACAATCAGGCTAAAGGCCAATGCCATTTTAGTAAGTTCACTTGTCGACATGTACATGAAATGCAAAGATCCCGATAAGGCAAGACTGCTCTTTGACGAGCATGCGGATGGGAAAAACTTGGACCTTTACAATACGGCCATTTCGAATCACGTGAAAACGGGTGAAACGAAAGAAGCAGTCGATCATTTCCGTAAAATGCTCGAATCCGGGCTGAGGCCCGATCGCGTCACCATGTTGTCGGTTATTACATCCTCGGCCGAACTCGTCGATTTTCACCTCGGCACGCAGTGCCACGCGTACATCTTGCGCAACGGTCTCGAAAGTCGAGACAACAACATAGGCAACTCGCTCATCGACATGTACGCAAAATGCGACAACCTCGAATGGGCTCGTCGAGTGTTCGACCAAATGCCCGAAAAAACCGTCGTCTCTTGGAATTCTCTCCTCGCTGGCTTCGCGAGGAAAAACGATCCGGGCCTTGTTCGGGCTTTGTTCGACCGAATGCCCGAACGGAATGTCGTGTCATGGAACACCATGATTGGCGCCTTGGTTAAGCAGAGCCTATTCGCGGACGCTGTTGTCCTTTTCAACCGCATGCAAAACGAATGTGTGGTAATCCCGGACGAGGTAACCATGGTTAGTGTGGCCTCGGCTTGCGGGTACTTAGGCGCCCACGACCTCGCCAAGTGGACTTATAATTACGTCAAGAAATCCGGAATTAGGCGTAACGTGCGTTTGAACACTTCGCTAGTCGACATGTTCGGTAGGTGTGGGGACCCACGGAACGCGATGCGGGTGTTTAGTGAGATGGACGAGCGCGACACCTCAGCGTGGACAGCTGTAATCGGGGCCATGGCCATGGCGGGAAACGGGAAAAAGGCAGTCGAGCTTTTTCGCGAGATGCTCGGGCTTGGAGTGGGGCCCGATCAAGTCGTGTTCTCCAATGTGCTCACTGCATGCAGCCACGCGGGCCTTGTTGAGGAAGGTTTGAATATATTTAATAGTATGATGAAACACGGGGTGGGCCCGCACGTTGTCCATTATGGCTGCGTGGTCGATTTATTGGGCCGAGCTGGGCTTTTGGATCGGGCCTTGGATTTTATTATGGAGATGCCGGTCGAGCCCAATGGCGAGGTTTGGAGTGCGTTCTTGGCCGCGTGCAGAGTGCACAAGAATGAGGAGATGGCAGATTTAGCTGCCGGGATGATTGAAAAATCGGGTTGCGAGAAAACGGGTCTTCAGGTTCTGCTGTCGAATGTGTATGCCGAAGTGGGCAAGTGGGATGATGTGGCGAAAGTGAGGATGAGCATGAAGGAAAAGGGGATGAAGAAAATTCCGGGGTCGAGCTCGGTCGAAATTGATGGGACTCTTCATGAGTTCACTTCAGGGGACGAGTCGCATGATGAATATGAGCGTATTTTTTTGATGCTCGAGGAAATAAACTGCAGAATTGGCAAGGAAGGGTATGTTCCCGACTTGACGAATGTGCTGCTTGATGTTGACGAGAGAGAGAAAGAATTTTCGCTCGGGCGGCATAGTGAAAAGCTGGCTATTGCGTATGGGCTTGTCTCGTCTGTACGGGGAATGCCTCTGAGGGTTGTTAAGAATCTGAGGATGTGTTCGGATTGCCATTCGTTTGCGAAGATGGTGTCGAAAGTGTACAAACGGGAGATAGTCATTAGGGATAATAATAGATTTCATTTTTTCCGGGGAGGTTCTTGTTCTTGTCGTGATTACTGGTAAATAAGTATTTGCCGGAAGCACGGTCTCTTTTTTTATTTTTTTTGGGTCCATCTTGTATCTGATGTGTATTTTTCTATCTGTATATTTGGTTATCTCACAATGAGAACTACAGAAACAGAATTACTCTGGACTTTTAGATACTATCAGCAATCCACAGTTTCAGTGCCAAAGTTCCAGCATCAGTGCATCAGCAGCAGATTCTTTATTCCGTGGGAATTTGGTCTTAAGGAATAATTGGCAGTTGCTTTAACTGTCCTGTTGAAACTTGACAAAAAGCCTACTATCTATAGAGTCCACATCTAATGCCCACGTAAATATACCCACCAACTGATATGATAAGAGATTGACATACCATGGATTGGTATCTTCGACTGTGTAATGCTTGA